CTGAGATATATAGGCACCTACCTCTCAGTGGGAGTTTGGCACCTAAATACCTTTGAGGATCAGGGCCTAAGCCCCTTTAAAATTCTTTCTTGCCTGGCTGACAAGCTGTCAGTCACTCCCACATGAGGACCTCGGGTGATGCATAAATGAGGCATAGTGCATCTCCTAATAGCTGGGTGCAGCCAGTGAGTCCAAGTATCTGGGAAGGGGGCAGCCACATAATGCTAATTTGGGTACTAAGCAGCTGCTACCAGGGGAATTAACCCTCAAAACAGGGTTCTGTTGCTATGTAAGCAGGGTTGCATGGGCCAGCAGTTATGGAGCCTATTTAAATAGGATAGAGCTCTTAATGCTTTCTACTGTGTAACTAATGCAGCTTTAAAAAGTTTATCCTAAAAAACAGTAGATGCTAGGTAGAGTAGGATTTAAGGCTTCAAGCTAGAAAGGTCAACTCACTGTCTCTCTGCCAAATACTGCTAAGCACAGAAGAACTCTGAGGAGTGTGGAACAACGGCTTTAAAAAAGAATTTGACATTTAAAATTTAACAAATTTGCTACTTAGGAATTTTATTCCTGACATCATGATGCCTTCTCAACTGGCCTAGAACTCTGAGTTCTCTCACCCTGACTAGAATGCTATGTAAATAATCTGCATGCGACAGTGCCTAGAGGCCTCTACCATTACACATACAACGAAAAAGACAGTCCCTGCCCCAAAGAGTTTACAATCTAAATATAAGCTAAGAGAGAATAGATGGCTACAATGAAGAGATGGGGGAGCACAAGGCAACAGTGAGGATATTCTGATTAGTGAAATAAGCTGTGGTCACAGCACACTAGCTGCCTAGCCATTACTGAGTGTTGTGTAGGCATTACATCACAAGCAGGGATTTGAGGGAGTCTTTGTAGATTTTCACAGAGAGATCCTCCAATGTATAAGGGTCAGCATATGAGAAAGTGGGAAGATGTTTATAAGGAAGTTGAACTAGTGGATGATAAAGGCTGGAAGCACTGGCAGAGCAGAGGTCAAGGCCAACAGTTTTATACCATATAATGCTGTGAAGTCACATCATTTGAGCTTGAGTAGCTAAAGACAAGTCTAAAATGACATTCACATGACAGGGATGATTATGGTGTTTTCCATAGTAACTGAGGAAGGAGAAAAGTTTGAGGGAAAAAGAGAAAAATCCCTCCAAGTTATTCCCTCTTCTGAAGGGTCTTTCCCTGAGAGTTCTCTTCCATTTGCCAATGAGAATTGGGCAATCACAACCACCTCTTTCAAGCTACTGGGCATGACAGCCACTTTCTGTGTGTGTCAGAGAGACACAGCAGAAACACCAGGGATGGCAGATGGATGCTAAGACATAGCTAGAGATGCACCTGTAGAGTAACCCTGAGAAAAGTTGAGAGAGAGAGCTTTTGGGTAAAGCTCTGGCTAGAAAGAGGCTCAGGATGGGACAAAGAAACTATTTCCTACAGTTTGAGTCCTACTGTGTTTAGAGAAACAGGACTTTGTGTGCATTCTTTGTAAATAAACAGGATTGCATCAAAGAAATACTTGACTCCATCATTAATTTCTTCTCCTAATGGAAACAACCAGCAAGACCCCAAAATTTGGCTAACCACTTGGTTCAGAAAGGGCAACACTATAAAAGTAAGAGTGAAAACGTGTCTATGATAACTCTGTATAATTTATTTGTGCATGTGTTTTTTCAAGAGATTGACAAGGAATACTTGACTTTGAAGGGTAAAGGTGTGTTAGATGTAAGGGAGCAAGATTTTCTTTGCTTTTGATTATATTAAAATTGTCAATGTCCGATTGCTTTTCATGACTACTCCTTAACCGCAAGGATCATGACCCATCAGTTGAGAAACACTGATCTAGAGCATCCAGACTAAACTTTGAGACTAATAAAATCACTCATTGAGTTAGGGGAAGTTTTGTCTAAAAAGAACTTTGGTCACAGAGGAGAACTGTAACCTTTGAAATGTTTGATTTTTGGACCCGGATTCTGAATTAAGAACTGCATGGGCAAACCCCTGCACCTACATAGAGCCCCAAAGAAGAAAGGAACGTGGTCCCCCAATGTGCAGGATTGGGGCCTTAGTTTTCCCTTATGGAAGCATAATTTAGTTATGCCTCCTCACACCATAGCTTAGAATAACCTTACTATAGTATTTCATGGCATTAATGTGGAATATTCTAATGGTTTTTATGATTATTGCCACTTGAGCTAAGCAAAATTTTCATAATGAAATTAGGTAATACTCATCTGGTTCCATTACAGTCTCAACTCAGGTTTTCTGAAACGTCTGCAAATCTCTCAATGAACATTGGCTGAGTTTCAAATGGTCCCAGAGCATGTTTTGAGCAAGCCTGGGGCAAATAATGGTTTTAGGTGTCCTCTTCTTAGCCTATGTGCAACGTGCCTCTTGTGGCACGTGACCAAGATTCATCACCAAATTAGGTTCGAACCATGTGAACAGTTGTTTTGTCCTGAAATTATGCAAAATTTGGTAGTTCTGAGCAGAGTTTTGCTTTGAGGTCTTTACTTCATTGGAAGAAAGAAACGATCTTAAGAGCCAGGTTGGACTCAAAAAGAAAAGGAGTACTTGTGGCACCTTAGAGACTAACCAATTTATTTGAGCATAAGCTTTCGTGAGCCACAGCTCACTTCATCAGATTTAGATTTTGGAATCAGGAAGGAGGCCTCCATCCTATTCTTGCACCAGGGCACTCTGGGATCTTGTTACATCACTGGTGAAGACACTGAGCTTTAAAGCTATTTCTTCTGTCAGCCATTTTAGGAACATGATTTTAAGGGGGATCACTGACTGGATATACATTATAGAGAATATTCAGCCAGGTTGCCATATAACAAACCTAGAGACAGAAGAGATCTTATTGATGCTAGTGGCATTGCAACCATTTACATGAGGGCTGAATTCTCCCCACAAGGGCCTAATCTTGCATCAATAGATGTCCAACAGGCATCAGACTGGGGTGGGGGAAAGGTGGAGGTGCTCTTCCAAGCTACGCAAACAAAGTAAACTCCACTAATCTGAGTCACCAAAATGAGATGCTGCTCACACCACATTATGAAGTTAAATTCAAAATATGATTGCGTATGCCACTTAGTTCCACTGGATTTCTTGAATTTAGCACTTCTTAGTAGGGTGTGAACATGCCCATGGATTCTGCTAAGTTTCTTGGATTTGGCTCCTTCTTGGCTGGGGGAAAAGAAGTGATGGTATCTCCTAAATGTCACCTGCTTGTGGCACCAAAATGAGAACTTACTGTGCACATCTATAACCTTTCCTCTCATTCCTTACAGGAGCAATGACAGTTGTTAGCACTGTTGACTTTTAAATTATTATTTACTTTGCATCTGAGTTATCACCTTACCAGTGATGTAACAAGATCCCAGAGTGCCCTGGTGCAAGAATAGGATGGAGGCCTCCTTCCTGATTCCAAAATCTAAAATTTTGCTTACCTTACAGAGTAAAGAGATTAACTCTGATCAGAGGCTGCTCAACAAAGTGCTCCTGTCCCACACATACTCCACCCCACGTAGACTCCAGAATACCCTTCTCACCCCCCATCACAGACCCCTAGCAACTCTCGACCAGCCCCCCACACATCCCAGCAGCCCTGCCATACATCCTGCTCACCTCAGCCCAGTATCACCCACTCATTCACAACATCCTGGCTCCTAATCTACCCCACTGCCCCCCAACATCTCTTATTTCCCCACAACTCACTCCATGACTCCTCAACACCCTCCAATCATCCCCAACCCCTCATCACACAGCTTCCAACACTCCCCACTCACCCTATAGCCCACCAGTGACTCATCCCCAGCCTCTCAACTGCTGCTCCCAGGACCTTCCTCCTAGCTATTCACGAGTGCCCCCTGGCTCAGCCCTCCACTCCCATCCTGGACTAGGGCAGCTCCTCCTGATTCCAGCCACCAGGTGACTCCATTTGCTCCCATCGCCCGCCCCACACTCACACTGCACCAGCCAAATTTGAGAGATGAGTTGCATTGCAACCTGGTACATGGGTTTACAGTTTTGGCCCATGATCCTGCATGCCATGTTGCAACACCATTCACTCAACTTTGGCCCAGCTGCCCTGATGGAGGGGTGACCAGGCCAAACTTGAGTTATGTTGCAACCCCTCCACACACGGTCACAAGACAACTGAAATTTGGCCAAATGGACGGGCAGCCGGGCCAAATTTGAATGAGTGGTGTTGGGACCCCATCCGCCACCTGAAGTGCTGGAGCACTGCTCCATCTGGTTGGTCCCCCAGAAGCTTGTGGTCCCTAGCGTGACTGCACCACTTGCACCTCTGTAGCTATACCACCGCACCTCCATGAGTTCACGCCCCTCAAGAGCTATTGTTGCAGGCCCTCTGCAGACCCATTTCCACATGATTTACAGTTTTACACTCATATTTTTGAAGTTTTCTTCCCAACCGTGACACCAAGAGGCTTACCTTTACTCTTAATTCTTGAGAGCTGAGATTCTAGAAGCTACACAGTAGTTTTATATTGCTATCAGTACAACACAGGGGCCTGTACCGGGTATTTCTGAGCTCTGATTCCCTGAGCATTTACTTCTTAGGGGTTGCTGGAGAGGGTGGTAAGTCAGTGCATATACTGACTTATATATATCATCTGTATTACAGCACCTACACTGACCCATTATTTATCTGTATCACTGCTGTGCCCAGAGACTTTGACCAACCCATGCACTACACATAGTAACTGAGTAACCGGCAGTCTCTGCCCCAGAGTCTAAAGGTTAGATCCTGCAAACAGGTCTGCATCGTAGCCCCCCTCCCCGACTTAAAGGGGGCTTTGTGCCGACTCGAGGGGGCCCCCCTGCAGATCCATGGCCTAAAAGACAAGATTTAACAAGTGGATGGGGTGGGGGAGAGAGACAGCAATAATGGGGCTGCCCCAAGCGGCCGAGCTGGGTGTCCGCGGTAAGCCCGGCGGCGGCAGGAATCCCAACCTGCGCTCCCGAAGCGGGGTTTGCTCTGTGTGACCCTGCAAGCCCGGAGCAAGGTTCCCGTGCAGGGCCGGCAGATCTCCGCTGCGCGGGCCCGCTCTTTGTGGGCCGGGCCGGGCCCGGCAGCAAAGGACACCGCGGCTCCCCGGCGCAGGCAGGCAGCCAGCCCAGCTGCCCCGTCCGCCCCGCCTCCTTTCTCCGCCCCCACGGGAGGCTCCGGCAGCGCCCTGCACCTCAGCGCTCGGACGGGACTGCGCGGGGAGCTGGTCCCAGCCTGAGGCGCCGCAGCCCCGAGCCTTCAACCCCTTTAACCCGCCGCCGCCATGGTGAAAGTGTCGTTTAACTCCGCCTTGGCGCAGAAGGAGGCCGCCAAGAAGGACGAGGAGAACAGCCAGGTGCTCATCCTGGGCCCGGACGCCAAGGTGAGCCGCGGGGCCGGGGGGGGAGTCCGCGGCCTGCTCCAGCTGCACGGGGTGGGGGAGGTGAGTGATCAATAATCGCAGTGCTCAGGGCCAGAAGGGGGCAAGTGGCTTTGTGCGGGGAGGGGTTAGCTAAAGCCCCGCTGGGAGCTGGAAGTGAGGGGGTAGGGTATTGAACGGGAGCTTTGCAGCCTGGGCTCCTTGCAAACAAATCCGCCTCAGGTTTATTGATGGGAGACGAGAGGCCTCCTGGGGAAAGACAAATAAGGTGACTGTCAACAGTGCATGTCCAAATGCAGGGAGGTAGAGCGAGGGGAGCTGCAAAGCTGGGGCCAGCAATCCCCTTGCCAGATCAGGCTTCTAAAATGGCTGACGTGAGAACAAGCTTTACAGCTCTGTTTCCCTGTACTTCGGGTTTTTTGTAGCCCGACAGCGCTTGGATTACGGCCAGCTTGGCTTTTTTTAATGCTACGTTCTTCTCCTTTTGTGGTGGCTAGTCTGGATCCGTCGCTGAAGTTCTCTAGGGGGGTAGGAGAGCACAGGGCTGCTGGCTTCTTGTTGTTTAGGAACAGCGTAGTTAGCCTTTGGAAAAAATACATTAGATTGAGTCCGTCCCTCTGCAAATGCAGCCTATACTAGCTCACGGGTGGAGAACGAATCTGATGTTAAACTACATTTGATCGTAGCCAAATGTCTCTTCTGCAGTAGGGCAAAAGTGACAAGGTTAGAGTGTCCTGTGTGTGTTTGAGCTGTTACAAAATATTAAAAGCTTGGGTGGAAAAACCACAAAGTTACCAGGAGTAATAAACACACTTAGTGTCCAGCAAGACACAGGATGAGACATTAATCCGACTGATGACAGTCAAATGAACTGTGTTGGAGCACATTGATACATTTGGAAAATTGCTTTAGGTGTTTACTCCTTTTTGATGATGGTGGAACTCTTATTGGAAATCTGATTACATTTCTGCTGTATTTTAATGCATCCGATGATGTGAGCTCACGAAAGCTTCTGCTCAAATAAATTTGTTAGTCTCTAAGGTGCCACAAGTCCTCCTTTTCTTTTTGCAAATACAGACTAACACGGCTGCTACTTTGAAACCTTAATTTCAGAGTTGGAGGGTTTGTGTCTGTCTGGGCTGAAACTTTGCACATGTTTAAAAAAACTAAAAACAAAATTGATAGAGACATTTAAAATTGCATATTGCACTTAATCATAAATATATTTAAGTTTTCATATGCTTTTTTAATCTTTTATGCATCACACATCCAAATTGTGTAGTTGGGTCTGTTGGACATATATACTGTTTGTCAATTTTCTAAACCTGTAGCTGTTTAAGAAAATATTTGGGGTACAAATTAAGGGCCAGTCTTTCTCAGGCAAAGCTTCAGAGGTGAAACCCTACCCTATTGAAGTCAATGGGAGTTTTCATGTTGACCAAGAGTTCATTCCTGTAGAGTTTAGTAGTTTCAACTGAATAAGGTACAGGATTAGAAATTAATTTTGCTCTGTTTATTACTGTTTTGCTTGTCTGGAAACAGAAAGGGCGAACATTTACTAAACAGATTAAAAGGTTGTCTAGTTTCACTGTAGCTACTTATAAGTTCCCCTGTATCCTCTGCTTGTTACCAGATGTACTGGCCAAAACCTGCCTGACCAGAGCTTAAAAAACAGCTTTAAAATAAAATGCTTGGAAACGATGCTGTGTACAGGCAATAATTCCAGCCACAAATGAGCATTTTTCAGGGATGGTGGGGCTTTGAATCTAACAGAAGTGTGTTCAGGACAGTTATCAGAACTGATCCCCCATTCTCAATGGCATGCCTCAAGGAATTCTCCTGAAATGGCCTTTTCAAGCATGTTTGTTTGAAAGCAAAAGTAAAAGAAATTCTAAGTAAAGTATATTTATCTGAGGTTTTGGGAGAGACAGTTGCCCAACTTCTCAATATTGAGATAAATGCTGTTTTGTAGCTGACCTCTCACAGGATCTAAGAACCACCACAAATTTCACCATCTTCCTCTTACACTCCTTCAACCTTGTCGTCTTTACTATAAACACAGCAACATACACATTAAAACATTACCAACCCAAACCATACCAAAACAAAAAACTACATGGGGCATACACAATTCTCTCTGGGGCGAGGATGAGAGAGAGAGTAAACCACACATGACAGATGTTAGTAACATTGTTTAATGCAGTGCTGGAAGGCGCTTAGTTACTAAGGAGATGAGGGTCTTATGAGAACATGTATATTAAGCACGTATTTCATAACATATTGAGCTTATATTGCAGGATAACAATAGGTCTAGAACCCAAGTACAGACCTAAAATATACGCTGCTGTACATTTTCACTTAAAAAGTCCTGGGAAACGTTCTGGTCTCAGGTTAAAAAAGAAAAAATAAGGGAAGGGAAAGTGGAAGAAGATTGGCAGAGATAAGCATGTGTAATTGCTTGATGAGCATTTTACCCCCCAGACTCCAAGGAGAGATGATAGCAAACCAGATGGTCTTCATGTACAAAGGTAGATCCTCTGGTATGACAGAAGCTGAAGCCAGGGGAAGTGGTAGTACACAAACGTGGCATAAAACTCCCTTGTGTATTGTCTTGCTCTGCTGCATGCCATCTTCATCACATTGTACTGGAGCAGCTCTCTACCTCAGCTGTATTTTATTGCAAGATCACCCTGGTGGTAATCCTCCCTGGGCTGATTAGGCAGGGTTTGCAGACAAAGTATGCTGGCGGTGTGGCACAGAACAGCCAAGGCGCACCTGAGGATCTGGCCAGTAACCTCTGAAGAAGGGAATGATGAGAAATGTAGTTGCAGGCCGTGGCAGAAGGGAGAGAGAGAGCATAAATTTCTATTTAAAATAACTTTTTATTGAACTTCTCTTACAGAAGAGATTCCATAGTGTAATGCTTGTACAATAATGTGCTTGAACTGGTTACATCAATAAATAAATAAATTTTTAATGAGTTAAAAGTACAAATCTCGGTATGTGCATAGTTATCTATCAAGATATTATTTTGGAATTGAAAAAATTACTCCCTACTTACAGTTGCTGGAGGCATTCTATTCGGAACCTCTGATTTAAGGACCACACTCTTCCGTTTGCACTGAAATTTCTCATGCTATAGTCTTAGCCAAAAGTCAGCATATTTTTAGTGCAGGTTCCCACACTACGCTTAATTCTCCCCCTTGCTCATGTATAGTACAATAGTATCTTTCATTACATGATTTTACCACAACCAAAGTGCAGAAAAAAGGTTTAAATATAATACAATGGACCTTTGGAAAGCCAGAGTTCTATTGGGATGCCTGAAGCCATCCTATATTTGACAGAGCTTGCTCAGTAGAATAAGTCCCCACTAAAGGGTTCTGGATCCTCAGCAAACTTCAAAGTCTGTTGGTCAATTCCTTCAATACCAGACATCAACCTGGCTTCTTCAAGGCTGTAGGTGTTCATCAAATATGGCTTTATGTGGTGAAGTTATGAAGTCACACCTTGGTGGGTCATAGCCAGTCTTCGGTTAGCTTAGATTTGGTTAATCCTGTCTTTTACCTTAGAGCACTGTACTTCTAAGATTACAGATAAAGGTCCGTTGGCATTGTATACTATGTCATGATGCTTGTTTTGGTGTTGGAAAACTGAATTTACTCATTTTAAATATATAGGGCACTTTATGTAGCTACTTCTTATTCTGCAGAGATTTCCTTCTTTCCCCTGGTAGCATCGTTTTTGGTGGCGGCCTGGCAACTCTATTCCTGTCTGCAAAAGTTTTCTTTGTGGGGACTCTTTTGAGCTCTCTCCAAAGGGAGGGAGAAACCTTTGATAGGAGATTCTGCTACCTTTCCCCTGACAATGTAGATGGCTAAACTGGACAGCTTGTGCTTGCCTCAGGAGTATGATAGATTTGCCTGCTGTGTATTTTAGGGTGCCAGTACTAAAGAAGCATAGGAAAGAGAATTGTAGCAGGCTGATTTCTCTCTTCCTCTCCCACTGTTTTGGTGGGGATGTTACTGAACTTGTCCCGGACCTTAAAAGAAAATAACTAACCTTCCAGATAAGGTCCAAAGGATGTGCAAATGTCTCTTGCTTCCTTATTTGGCCATAGAGGTTTGTACGTCCTCGAATGTGTGCAGGAGGGAGAGGCAATAATGTTGACTTCTATATTAACAAAGTTTTTCTGCACGAGGAATCTTAGATTTATTTTAACTTGGAGATTCTTGGGAAAGGGAGTAGAGGGAAATGAGTGGCTAAGTTGCCACCCTTTGAGGTAAATTCTTGCATGGTCATCTGTACTACTGAATAAATAATATACCTCCTTAAAAACAACGTCATGATAGTCTTTGCACAGTTGCCTCCAAAGCTTCTTTGAGGATGTTGCCAACAACTGAGTGAACGATACACACAAAATAATTACAAATTAAAAGAAAAATAAAACTTGTTTCACTGGAACTCTACCAAAAACAATTGCTGTTAATGTTGGAGCTTGGAAACCTGGGATTCATTTCTTGAACTTTCTGACCTTGAGCTGGGAACATTGGTTGCAAATCTTTCTTCAAGCAGTAGAAATGAACATATGGGAGCAGAGGAGTTCTTGGAAATGGTCCATATCTCACTTCCTTTTGTGTTTCTCTCATTTTTAAATCTCTTCCTGACTTGAATGATAAATATGAAACTTTGCTATGGTGAAATACTGTTTCCCTCATTTCCAGTACATTGATATTTCATATTTTAAACAAGATATTTGTATCACACCACCACAATAATTACCTTGGCAGTTATTTATTTTGTGGCTGGTGAGACAATGTTGATGTCCATGAATGCCGTTTCAGGTTAAATCAATTCAGTACATGGATTGGGAGGATACATGGGCAGACAGAGAATTGTTTTACATAGACTATTTCTAAATATCTTCTCTGTTGTCAGATTAACAAACTGATACTTGGGTAAGTTTTTTTTCAAATGTATTTGGAGAACTTTTTTTTTGCATA